TTTTCCGCCATGAGCGAGATTGAGTCGGCTGCATCCAGCTCAAATGTCAATGAAAACACTTGAAACCTGGTATATGGCACCACTGAAAGCTTCTCTACTGGCTGCCTGACGCTGCACTGTATCCCACCGTCCATTGCTCCTCCTCATCGCCGAGTGCGACCTCACGGGCTCGTCTTTTGATTGATGCCATCATGACGCTGAATCATCATGGGCTCACATGCTTCTCCGTCTTGTTCGACAAACAAGATCTTGAAGGCTACCCCATCCAAACTACTCTGGCTTTCTTGCTCTCAATGCAAGATGGCACGCACTGCCGGCTATTTGGATTCCAATCTTGAAGCTGCTCACGCAAAACAAGAACTCAAGAGTGTTCTACTTGCATAGAGTTCCAATTCGGAGCTCAAGCTCTCCAATAGTCATCTCATATGCTCCAAACCAGGTGTCCAAGACGTCCATTGTCACTTGAGTCCTTCCTGAGATGTGCATTCTCATAACCATGACACAGAATGTATCGAGCTTGCCGGTAACGTCCTAATGGCATCACAAGCAATTTTCTGGTGTCCAGAGGACTCACTCACTCAGCTGACATGACCGGCTCTCCCTGTTTTGGTGCTGACTTTGTTTCTCTAGTTTTCGGCTAGTTCTACCGCGGGCAGATTCCTGTACCGTGAGCTCGGCTAGAAGGGGATAGAGAGGCCCAGGGACGATGGTGTATCTAGTTATTAGCAGCTAGTGCGTGTACACCGGGATACTTCCTGGAAACCGGCGTTCCGGAGCGGGACCGTGCCGTGTAATTCCTTCCTTCCTTCCTTCCCGCCGAGGGGTGACACTTTGAAAAGAACAATGGCGACGCAGCCGCGGGTTTGATTGCGCCCACCCCGTTTCCTTTTGCCCTGAGAGATTTGGTAACAAATTGAAAAGGTTGCAGGATGCATGGGGGTGCGTTGCAACGCGGACCTACGGTTGTCCACTGTGACGTAGTTTTCGCGCGATGAATTGCCGACGGCGCGATCGATGGTCACCATGCGCAACTGTGCGTGACCGTATAATATCCAAATTAGGAAATGCGTCATTCTAGCGTCATCACGCAGAATTATTTTTCAGAATGTTGTGCGGTGTGTTGGCCGTGTGTTGGTGTGTTGGCCATTTTTCGCGTTTTTCAATGAATATTTGCGATTTATTTGTGACTTGTGTGATATCTGAGATCTGGATCGGGACATTTGTGACTTGACTCGAATTGGAATCGAATAAATTCAGCAGACGTTCTTTGCACCCAGACCACGAAATGTTCGAGGACTACTGTCTCACCTGCGGCAAAGAGGTCATTGACGGGTACGTCCTGCACGCTACGCTGCTCGTTGTCCATGCCGACGAAGACGCCCCTCGCAGCCGCACCTACTGCAATGAGGTCTGCCTCAATGGCGATCTTACGTCGCCGTCGTTGTCCGAGTCGAGCAGTGCCTTTTCCTCACCCCACCTCCAATGCACCCACGGCCAGGAAGTCCCACCCCTTGTCCTAGCCCACGACCGATACTCTGCTTCCTCCTCGTCGGCATCGTCGACGGCATGGTCGGTCACCGACGACGAAAGCGACCCAGAGGCACTTCACCATGGCCTCTCGTACGCCCGCCGTCCGTCTGGTATCAACAACGGAAAAGCCGCCCTCCACTGTCGCACCGGCTCGGGCTCACTCCAGAGTCTCGCGCTGCCCCAGTCGGCCCCAGACGACATCAGCTCATTCGACCAACGCTACGAGCTCGGCTTTGACACGGATGCCGACCATGCAACAGACGACCCAAACAGGCCACCTACTGCGACCATCACCGCAGGCCAGGGCCGAAAGAAGACCAATCGTGCAAGTCTTCCCGCCTATTTCTCCATGCTCCAGATAAACACCAGCAAGCCCAACGTTCCCCGAGCATCTCCAACCGTCGCCTCGTCTGCAGCATCCACTCTCCATACGCGTCCTTCTCCACCGACGCCAAAGGTTGGCCTCATGGCTGGTTTGGCCGCGGCACACACGAATCCACCCCGCGGCCGTCGTCGTCAGTCGTATGCAACACCATCCTCCAGTCTCAGTCGGAGCCCGTCCCCAGGGCGACGAAAGGACTCTGACGAAAAGGTCGCAGACTGGTCGAGTGGTCTCGCTCGCGGTCGGGCCATCCGACGCAACAGCAGCCCACCAGCTAAAATGGCCGTATCCACAGACTCCCCACACCACCTCCGTCTCAGCATCTCCCCCAAGCGTGGTCGTGCCAGGGCGGATGAGCTCGAGGGCGTTGGCCAGAGTCCTGAGCGTCCTGGCTATGGCCATGGCCGAAGCGGACTCATTGGCCGTGCCCGCAAGGGCGCCGTCGACGAGTGGTTTGGTGTTCGCGGATAGCCTCGCAAGAAGTAAAACTCAACCAAATGTACCACCTCTCGTTCGGATCTCTCGTTCTCCTTGGCGCATTCATATATTCGGGCCATACTCGCATCGTTCTACACAACGCACACACACATTCATATCCATATCGCGCATACCACTCACAATCGATATTATTCCTGCATCTTTCCTAGCAGTAGGCGACAGTTGTAGAGGACAAAAATAAAATTGACTTCACCGTCTGTCTTTCGTGTGCCTTTCTTGTGGCGTCCATGCGCACTAATTCTCTAGAGGCGTTCATGGGAAGCACGGGTCGGCAGCACTTTGCTCGCGATTCTTTCACATTCGAGCACCCAAGAAACGTGCTTTATGAGCTGGATGGAATCGCGAGGCCCAGCGCACGTTCACGCGATTATTATAATATTATTCTCGTTTCTCGTTTCTCGTGTACTGCTCGCGATTTTTTTTTTGGTTCGCTTGAGTACCGGCATTCACCGTCGCTTGCGCTACACCCGCGTCCATCTCCGTGACGCGCCACCACCGCTTGCGATTTAATTTATTTGATTCATTATTGTGCCGTGTCGCGTCGGACTCGGGGGGGTCACAGAAATTAGGCGATTTTCTTTCACATTAGGAGGAGGACCTTTTCAATTTTGCAATTGCGGGATTATTGAACGTGCGCGTTTCGTTTCAGCTTGGGTCGGGACTCGGGCCAGTCGCCGCATCCGTGCTGGACGGAAAGGCACACCCGTACGGCTCGGGGCCGGTGGCGGTGGCGGACTATAGCTAGTCCTCGCGGGAGACGGTACAAATCCGTTATTCATGTTCGCACTCGGGTGGTTTGTCTCGATGCAGTGACATTTGTACACACATCGTAGACTGTAGACGATGTCCCAATTAAAGGCCAGGTGATACGCGCACCTTGTTGGTGTGGCCGTCGGCGCAATCGTATTCACTGTCAGAACAGACAACAAGAGGCCAGACTGAAGATAGGAGGAAGATTTTGAGGATAGGAGTGGGATTGGCCCGGAAGAAACAATGTATTATTATAGAGTCCTCGGCATCGTCTGTAGAAACGACGGCGTTTCGAATATTCAGTGTCGGCGACTTGAGAAGTCGGCTGGTGGTGGGCGCGTGATGTTTTTGTCAATTGAGTAGTCGAGTAGAGTTGCAATGGCAATATTGCGCGGCAGGCACACCACACCTCGCCACAAAGCCGCCCGACGCGATATACACTGTCATCGCTGATCGTCGTCCATACAAAATTCCCGCCTTTGGTGTCGAGAGCCGGCCGAGATAGACTCGCCAATGACGCGCTCGGCGCATTCCCGGCATGGGCAATGGGGCGATCCCGAGAGGGCGGATGGAGGTGGTCACGCCTTTTGAGCACAAGACGTCGAACGATTGAGTGAAAAGCAATTCGTTCGGCATCGGTCTGAACAGGTGGTGATAATATGTTGCGAGTTTTCCACGCGCTTTGTTTTGGGGAAGAAACACTTGATGTGGGGAAGCTCGTCCATAGACCGCCGGGAACTGTATGGTGTTCGACTCGAGCCAGAGTTGACGAGACGCACGCCCAGCCCATAAGCCTACCCCGAGAAGTTTCTTGGCGGCGGTATGCGGGAGTTTGCGGACGCGGCGAAAGTGAGCAGCAACAATCTTTCAGGGTAACGCATACGTCAGAGTAGAAAAATAGACTGTGGAGGTCATTTGCCGACCCACTCGCGCGAGCTCGCGTCCTCTAGTACGGTCACGGTGCGTATCAGGTGCTGTTCGAGAACTTGCGGTTAGCGGTCATTCAAGAAGCTGCGAGAATTTTGCTGCGCGCCGGTCGTCGTGTGTGCCGGTCTTGCTGTTTTGCGTGTACTATGGATCGGAGATAGAAGAGCAAAAGAGACGTGCTTGCCGTCGAATTCCTCGCCACCTGTGCGTGGCAGATGCATCGAGTAGTTGGAGCGATTACGCGAGTAGTTGATCCCCAGGGACTGCATATGTATGTGTCGACGTTCGCCTTCCCTGCTTAGCGTGGTCTCTTGCATGCGGAATCACGACCTGAAAGCTGTTCATCGCGCAAGGAATATATCGACTGGGTTCGTTGATGTGATGCGACAGAAGCTCTCCGGAGGGTTTCAAGATGGTCGGGAGAAGGCGGCAGCAAATTGGCACTGGCAGATGTGAAGAGTGGTCCATGGACGTTGTGGTTGAAAGGTCACGTCACGGGTGATGTTACATGTCGATGTAATATGATTTCTGAAGGAACCACAGATTCTCTGGCCCCGGAAAAAAGTCCAATGATAGGGAGGTATCCATGTAATATATATATATGGCTTATTTGTCCTCTCACAACCGGAAACTAGCCCAAAGACTGGGTAATTTTCCGATCAGTCACAGTCACTCCCGACCATTTGAGCCATAAAATTTACGATAAAAACACAGGACGATGCTCAAAAGTTAAGATTTTTCGTGGGTGCACTGCCAGGGATAGAATACAACGAACCCATAGGCAAAGGGAAGTGCAGCATGGACAAGTGCGACGTAAGGATCAAATTGACTGTTCCACTGATCCATCGGTTCAATCCCATTGCCTCGGTGCTCAAACAACGAGGTTAGAACGTCGCTTGTCGACGCAAAAATAGGGGCTAACCCGGGATCGAACCGGGGGCCTCGCCCATTGAGAAGCCACGTTGCATCCCGGAATAACCCGAAGGGCGAATCATACCTCTAGACCATTAGCCCATGTCAATGTCGCTAATTCAAAGGGAGTCAACACTCGGATCTTGCCTACGTAGTCTGTATTCGATGTAAAATGGCCGGGGAATCTATTTCTGAAGGTTTCAGACCGACACGATCAACGGTTATTGAGATATGGCCGAGATAGCAGAGCCTCTGATGCCATCGTCAGCCTGAGATATTATTCCCCTCATACTTAACAATGAATCGTAGCTTTAGAGCCAGATACAGCGTAAATAGAATTCAGAACAGAACAGAACATACTTTTGGGACACTTTATGAAAAAACTCACGCGGCCCGGACCTCCCGTGGAATAACTTCTCAGGAAAAATTGAAGAGATTTTTTTTCGAGACAAGATTCCGACCCGATCCGATGTTCGACCTCGGTGCTGCCGATCTTATCATTTCATCTTATCTTAGCTGCCTATTGTGTTGTCCTGGATGCTACGTAATGCTTCTCTCACAGAGTCTCACTGTCCAGGTACAAACGTATGCTCCCACTTCATGTACAAGTAGCTGAACGCTTCTCTCACTGTACCAGTGCTGAATATAGTATTCGTTCAAGAACACCATGGAAAATTGGGCTCACAGGTCAGATCCGAATTTCTGTCCGAACTTTACCTGCCCAAAATCTCCGTCCGAATTACCCCAACAATTACTCAAATCTCGACTTTTGTGGTTCCGGCACTGTCCTGCCCCGCCGCAAAAATGCCTTTGGATTAACGGTGCTTTAAGTTAGCTCAAACCGACACCAATTCACCGTTTTCGCGCATCCTATGCTATTCACAAGCACAATTGGATGGCATGGACAGAAGGAAGGGTGCACCCAACGGATAGACTGGTAGTTGTCAATTCTTCGTGTATACATCGATGGGTCGATTAAATCCTGCACATTGGTTTGAGCGACCGGCAGGACAAGGTAGCACCAAGAATTACCTCCTTCTCCAACATTGCCGAATCGCTGTGGCTTCCCGAAACCGACCTTGCTCAGCATCTCCGGGAAATCGTCGGGACGTAGCTTGAGCTCTTGCGCCGTTTCTTTCAATCGCTACCATACGTTAGCGCACAATATGGCTGACAAGAAAACACACATTATGCATGCGTTTTGCTTTGTGATACGTGTCCCACTGCTGCGGCTCGACGACAAACTGACCTCCCGTTGGCAAAACTGCAGCGACGCGCGCAAAGAAACGTTCCAGGCCCGCGTCTCCGCCGTTCAGATGAATCCATTTCGTGATGGAGAACCTGCGCACGATGAAGGCAAGTACAAGGCGCAAGAAACGCGTACGCAAGAACAACATCATAGCCGCTCTCGTCCTCTTGAATGGCGTTGTTTACCCAGTCGGCCGTCCGAAAAGCGATGTTGCGAGGGAAAAGCTCTGGAGAGGACGTCGGAATTGGTAGCGGTCCGTGAACGTGCAGACATGAAGCCGGAAAGTAGTCGGCTTCGCCGGTTTCTTCGACTCTCCGCCGTTTGCGAGTCCTCCCTGCTTCCTCGTCGCTACGCGGACCTTGCGCAGACCAAACTGTCCGTCGTCTTCGCCACGCAGCACGAATCAACGCGTCGTCAATATCGACACCGACCACCTTCAGCGCGCCATGAGACTGTGCTGGCTTGGTTTTAATTTTTTCTTCTAACGACACAGAGAGGCAAGAAACACACCAATTTCGCAGGACACCCAGCCCTCGTTGCAGCCGACGTCCAGGACGCGTTTCCCAGTGAATGTGGTTGATGGAAGGACTTCAAGACGAGGGTCGTTCACAAATGGTCGTTTGACGTAGTAACTGCAAGATTTCGCGTCTAGGTCGAAGGGGACAGTGGAGAAGCTTGCTTACCCGTGGTAGTTGCCATGTATCGGGACAGCTGTGGCCATTGGTTTGGTCACACTTCCGTCGTTCGCCATGAACGCTGCTAGCTCATCCAAAACCACCTCACCACTCCGCCGATTCGCGGCCCACACCACGACAACTTGCGCGTCACAAGCGTCGGTCTACGGCAAGTGCATCCTCGCGTCGTACACGGATGTAAGCAAGGATATGTGCCAGGCAGAGTTTGCTTTGTTTGCGCAGTGTTTGCGGCAAGCCGTGGGTAGTAATTTGCATTGTTATCTCATGGGCTGAAGCAGCGTTAGATGGGACGCAAATGGTGAAAGCCAGACGTGTAAAAAGTCGCGCAATTCGGCTTGCTCAGCACCGTCATGTCCTTCGACTTTTCAAGCTGGCCACCGACCCTCCCCGAGACCGAGCTCGATTCCCTCACCCTTCTTGCCACGACATATGCCCTCTCCCATTCGCTCCTCTATCTCCCTCCGGCCCATGGTCCGCAACCTCACATTCCCGCTGCAGCTATCCATGCTCCAATCTCCCTCTTCCCATCGCCTCTTCCTCGTCGGCTTTTCGAGCTCGCGCGTCGTCTACAGAGCACGTATAATCTTCTCTACGCCCGGATCGCAACGGATGTCGAGTTTCTGGACCGCGTCATGGGTGCAGTCGACGGTGTGGGCAAGGTCGATGATTTTGTGGGTCAGTTATGGACGGGATGGAAGAAGTTGAGAGACGAGGGATTGGTTCAGGTGCCTTCCTTCTTGCTTATCGGGCTGAGCCTGAAGATTGCAGCCCTTGCAACTCGGACTCTTCCGCTCCGATTACTTGTTGCACACCGGTGACCAGCAGCTCAGTTTGAAACAGGTCGAGTTCAACACCATATCGTCTTCGTTTGGTACCCTTTCGCAGCGTACGGCTTCCCTTCACCGATATCTCTTTGCGTCCACCGGATACTACAACGCTTGCCCGGGAATGAAGGCCGAGGACTTTCCTGCGAACGAAACAACCGCTGGTCTTGTCGAGGGTTTGGCCGCAGCCCATGCGGCGTATGGTACGACAAGCGCCAAGATTCTTTTCGTCGTGCAACCCGGCGAACGCAACGTCTTCGACCAGCGCCTTCTCGAATATGAGCTTCTCGAGAAGCACTCCATCCACGTCATTCGCCAGACGTTCGACCAACTTGGATCGAGCGCATCCCTAGACCAGTCCACCTCGACGCTCCGAGTCTCTAGCACGGAGATATCCACTGTCTACTTCCGCGCTGGATATACTCCGACAGATTACCCCACCTCAGCGCAATACGCCACGCGTTTCCTTCTCGAGCGTTCGCGAGCGATCAAATGCCCCTCGATTGCACTACAGCTTGCGGGCGGGAAGAAGGTTCAACAGGTTCTCGCTGAGCCGGGTGTGCTTGATCGGTTCGTTGAGGACGAAGAATCAAGACAGTTGCTAAGAGCTAGCTGGATGGGTATGTGGGCGCTGGAGGATAGTGTCCCGCGCGCGCGGGAGCAGGCTGGCAAGCTCGTCCTTAAACCACAAAGGGAAGGTGGAGGGAACAATGTCTATAAGGATGCCATTCCATCGTTCCTGGACACCCTCTCAGAAGCTGAGCGCGCTGCATGGATCGCAATGGAGTTAATTGAGCCGCCTGAGGGTACTGGAGGGTATCTCGTACGCTCCGAGGCAGAACACGCTGTGCGGACAGAGGTGGTCAGCGAGTTGGGTATCTTTGGATGGGCGTTGTTTGGTGATGGCAAGGTCGAGGAGAAGGAGGCAGGGTGGCTTGTACGGACGAAGGGAAAGGAGAGTAACGAAGGAGGCGTTGCCACTGGATTTTCTGTCCTCGATTCTGTTCTTTTGGTAGAATAGCAATCTTATCGGGCCAGTGTGCATTCTGCTCTGCCGCCACTGACATTCCTGCTTCGTGCCATTGTTGATTTCGTCAAGTCGACATATGAAAGACATATCTGGAGAACGGGCTTTCGAGAGACGGGAAATCGTTGCTAATAGTTCACCGGTTAAGGGGATTCATACATCTGTGAATATGCTACAGCTTGGCCTTGAGGTTGTTCGCAGCGCTGATACTATTTGCGGCGGTCTGAACTAGTTCATCGACACTGGGGCGAGTGAGCAATGAAGTAAGAGAAAGAAAGGTTCACTCGCATCTCTTTGGCCGGCTTAATTTCCTCGATACGTCCCGCAACCTTGCCCATCAACCCTAGAGAGGAAGGTAAGGACCAGATGAAACGGGAAAATGTGAATGCATACAGGCAAAGCCTTCCATCGAACGCTTCGGGTTCTTTTGCAGCTCCAGCTCGTGTGGAATTTTGCCTGCCGCAAGTACCTGTTCCTGTTCTCCTTTACGAGTCGTCTCCCATTCCTTCACATACGGCGTTGTCCGGACACTCATCGGCCGACCGCTGTAGATTAGGGTTCGATTCACATCATCAAAGCCAGCGCTAAGGACCATTTGCTTGTGTGTCTTGTTCGCACCGGCCTCCTCGCTTGCAACGAACCGCGTTCCAACCCAAACACCCGAGGCGCCGTACCTGTGCGAAAGGTTGAGCGGCCACCACGGACATATGTATGGGTACACTTACGCAAGTGCAGCGGCCAAACCCCGCCCATCTGCAATGCCGCCTGCGGCAACGACAATGACCGGCTCGCCTGTGAGCGGGCTCTTGGCATTCTTGCACAGATCCACGACCGCAGGAATGAGGATCGAGAACGGGGTTTCGCCGGTATGGCCGCCGCCTTCGCCTCCTTGTGCACAGATAATATCGACGCCTAGTCGTGTGAGCCGGAGCCGAGCGCTGGGATAGATCGTTACCCTGAGCGAGAGCTTTCGCTACGTGCTTTGGATGTCCAACCATGCTATCATAAAAATAAGCAGTGTCCAAGAGTGTACACCGAACTCGCACTTCATGACAGGAATTTTTGCCGCATGAAGTTTGTCGACCGCCCATTTTGGTGGGACGCCAACAGCGCAGACAAAGAGCGACGCTCCTCCTTGGATTATAACATCAATCAGCTCGTGTCTGCAAAAGTCATGTATCTCGTTTCGTCAGCGCAGGAGGGACGAACAGTTGGCCGCCGGTGTAGTCCACATTCGTCTTGCGTGCGCTTCCGCCGACCTGAGGAATAAGGAGATCCACTCCGAATGGCGCGTTCTTGTCTTCGAG